GGTGGTCACGAAGCCAGAGCGTACCCACACAGATTTTGCTGAGACCCACGTTCGGGCTTGGCCCTCGATCGCGTCATTGTCCAAGCTTGCCAAGCTCACGGACGACTTTTCCAAAGTCGAACGGTCTGCAGATTACGTGGATGCCATCGGGAGGGCTTCGAGAAGTCTGGCGTCAAACTGGCTGTCGCTGAAGCCGTTGCTCGAAAAGGCCGCCAGTGACGGTATCGCTGCCACTGGGGAGGAGCTTTTGTCTATCAACACGGGAACAAGCGGTACTAGTATCCCACCCAACAGGCTCGGAGATGCGCGTCTGTTTGGCCAGGAAGTCACCGTGCTCATTTGCAGATCCAAGCGTGATAAACCATTCCATTATGGGATCGTGGTGACGCCGCAAGAAGATGGTAGCTGGCACAAAGTATGTACGGCCGCGTTCTCTGAAGAGTGTGTCCGAATCGTAGCCAGTCGCACGGAAGATTTGATTATAATTGGCAAGTGACGGCCAAGCTTCATTGCCCTGTGGACCGCGGAGGTCTGGCAAGGGCTGGGCTGGTTGGCCGAGTCCTCGTGAGCAGTGGCAGGAGTCGTAGGTCGTAGTCCTGTGAGTTAGTCAGCATCGATCCTACTTGCTTCCATCCACGTCGCCTCCGAGTCGGCGGGAGCTCTCCATGGAGGGCGTGGGCAGTCTGGCCTGGTCCACCTACCAAAAGTGACAAGTGGCTGTTAGGGACGGTCGAGGTGGTAGTGTGTTCGATCCAGCAGCTAGAATTCCTGCGTCGTTTCGACTGTAATTGACTGCGAAAGAAACCCTGATTTCAAACTTTTCTTTTCTTCCTAATTTTTGCAGCAATCTAATTACGACTCCCCTGAAAGTTGAAACGGGACGAGTTATTACTCGGTTACCTGGCGGCCGGTCACCAATTGGCACGGGCAACTGCAACCAGCTCACACAGCGGTTTAAGCAGCTGTCTGCGTTCAATGGGAATGCCACTGGCACGTTTCAGGCTCCAAGACGGTTCATTTGCAGAATAGATCTGGGAAGCAGAATATCAATATCTGGACGTACCGTACGTGCGGTGCTCGTCGATGGGCCAGTGCCAGTGGGTAAAGGGTTTTCGGCCTTCCGAGAAAGCATTGGCTCGCCCGTCGTGCATGCGTGCTTGATTACTGTAATGAATTATCGCTGTTATAGGAAAAGTACTAGTCTAAGTAATTTGATTTGATGAAGTGAATGGACGAGTCGCAACCTGTGCAGGGAAGTAACCTGGTGGTGACAGGGGTCCTGCAATGACTGGTGTCCGCAGGCTCGTGTCGACCACAATCACCTGGGGTTCCGAGTCCACTCCGCTGTCCTTGCGAACAGGTGATGGAGAAGTCTCACTATCGTTTGTTCGCAGCTTCCCTGGACTACCTCGACTCCAAAGTTCAAAGTTCACACAATGTCACCTGCGACTTTTTCCAATTACTCTTATGGGTGTTTGGAAACTACGCAGGGTAGGATTCATTCCCGGTTTCGACGCCTGCTTACGGTCATCGCACTGTCGGGGATGAAAAGCCTTGCCTTACCCTAATCTTTGTGCCAGTGGTCATGATGTAACGCAGTATTTCTTGACACATCGCCGACTCACCTCACACAAGGATACCTCTCAATCAGTGTGCGCCGATTTCCACCTTTTCCATTAATCGGCTTGAGTGACTGCCAGTGATACGCTCACCACCTTCGTCAGCTTTGCGGCCTTTGCCGAATTTGACTTGGTCCCTTGAACAATATCCCTTCTACCCTTTCTCCACGCCCTCCTCCCCCATTTGCGCCAGGATTACAACCCCCTTACATGCCTTGATCGTGCCTTGGGCCCCACTGGCACGAGCACTACATTGGCCAAGAAGGACACTCGCAATACACGTTCCTATGCAAGCACAGAAGACACTGCACCCATATACGCTACAAGGGCCCAACGAGGGCCATAGGAAAGTCACCCCGCTTTCGTACTTATGGCACTTGTCCTCGGAGGAGGCTCAGTCCTTGGAACTCCGCTGACCAGTGCGTTCATCTCAACGCGTCCGCTTTCGGGAATCGCCGATTCCGCGGTCAGTCCAGATTATAGACTGACCATGAAAATGATGATCGTCGAGAGCTCTCATCTGGCGAGCTGCCTTGGTGCACACTTCAGAATCAGAAGTTAATGTCCAGTATTCTTGTCTCGTCATGGGTACAATGTCTGCACCCCAGACTCTCTGCATCATCCACCTTGATCACGCGTGTACAGCCTTTTACTTTCCAACAACGTAACGACCTTTACTAGATCAAGCGGGAATACAATTGAATTCTGGCAGACAAACAAAGATTCTAATGTAGTCAAGTGCGCCATAATTCGGTTCCATAGGTACGCGGCATCAACCGCTCCGCTGATCCCCTTTATCTCCCTAGTATGGCCTCAGAAACCCTTTTTCGTAAAACGTCAGGCCGCCATCACCGACTCGGGGGTTCGTACAGGTCAATATTTTCATCGCTGCCGACATGCGGGGTGGTTCTTTGCTGTCACTCTACAGCCTCGTGTGCTTGCGCACGACGTGAACAGGTCGCCGTCGAACCGAGCAGTGGCAGTTAACCCGATAGAGCGAAACGTTTCAATCCTACTTATACAACTTGTGCCCGACCTCTGCCAGCTGAACAATATTTAAGGATGCGGTTCTTGTCATTCGGCGGTTCGTTGGTTGTGCGAGTACAGCAACCGAGTCGGGCTTCGACGTCGAGACGGCGGATCGAATTTCGGTCATAGCACTGATTAGCGCCATTATGGATTTCGTATCCACTCCTCCCACATGACGTTCCGTCCAGGAATTTCGCTTCCAATACAACAACAATGAGCCCGAGGGTTCGCCCTGAGCTAAGGGCAGCTCCTTCAGGTCATTTCGCGTCCTATGACTCATACCTTTCCGTGATTGGGACCCTTTTTCCGGTCAGTGTCCACCGTCACATCACCGTTCCTTCCATTCCACAGAAGGTTTGATTGCATACGGAAACACGGAACCTTCAAGTTGATATCCTGTTATCTTCCCATACCCTGAACTACGCCTATTACAGACATGGCCAATTTGCAACGGCCAATTCGAATTCAGTTGTCAACACAAAGTCGGTCTAGCCGCAAGGGTGCGTGTCCGCCGATTTCCGGCATCAATTCAGTGTATGTGGTCATTTGTTTGCCCTCCCGGTGGGTATAAATTCCAGGCTCCAAGTCAGTATGAAGCCAACAGTCCCTCGAACAAGATCACTGTTTATCTCGCTATATCTATCCCAATGTCTTCCTCCCTTGTGCGTCTCTGCTACCACTGAACCTTTACCTCTTTATGACACTCCTTACAGGGTTGGTATCACTCTGGCCTTACGTGGGGCGTGGATGCTTCCACAATTCTTGACGGACAAGCCTCGGAGGCGCACACCCAGAAGGGTGTTCGTTCCCCTTTGATACTGGGCCCGGATGACACTCTTGTATGTTTCCGCCACCATTGAACCATTATTTCTTTGATGACACTGATCGCAGAGGTGGGGCAAGAAATTGAACTGGTACACGAATGTCACCACCATTCTCAACGACCAAGCCTCGGAGAAAGCCCAGCAGAAGGAAGCTAGTGGCGAAGTCTGCTACTGAGCACAGTAAACTATGTATCGTGTCATTGTTGTCTTTGATAGTTTCCCGTACCGGCCGCCGGCGTATTCATGTATTCGTGTCAATAACTGCGTGTAGTTGTATCTTGGCCCCGGCCAGAGTGCAACTGTGAGGAATTGTTTACTCTCTGGAAGTCGTAAGGAAAACAAGGCTGTTTCAACCTTGTCATTGAATGCTTGAACATCGAGGGACCAACCTGAAGTGGACTTGGTCAGCACATAAGTTATGATCGTACTCGCACTTTGCATCACAACTACGTCCGGAATCGTCGACTTTGGCGTGTTCAACACAGTCAAGCGGCGTTAAGGCTGACACCAGGTTCGATACGGTAGGAGGCCTGGCGGTTCAATGCAGCAGAGCGAAACAATATGATCCAAGCCACCTCTGTCACCGTACCTCGCGCAGAGACTTCACTATCCCAGGGATGTACTTGGTATTTCAAGTGAATGTAAAGTATCCTTTGATCGCCTATGCTTCCCTCGCGAAGGCACGCTCCACAAGCTCCCTTGCACTCTCCTCCCAGTCGTCCCAGCACACTGCCAACTCATTACTGTCCCTACCTAGTAAACCATTTCCTGCATCACCTGCCCTCGCCTCCTTCCCCAACTTATGGTATCCTTCAACTGCCGGTAATGCGTATTTCCATCTGAACACACCCTCCAACTTGAATCCCATCCGTTTAGCGAGATTATTGGAGGCATCATTGATCGGAGAGACAGTCCATGTGACTCTTCTGAAGCCAGCTCCGGAGGGAGGGAGCTCGAGGGCATACTTGAGGAGTAACCCGACGGCATGAGAGCCGACGTGGGTTCTCTGGAAGGCGGGAAGGACGATTGCGGGACTAATCTCTGTCACAAGCATCGTCGTGCTGGTCTCCTCAAACCCGAATAAACCCGCTAACGAGCCTTCCCACTCGGGGTGATTGGGATCGGGACGCGTTTTATCGATCGCTGCGAACAAGACAGCACTTTTATCCCGCCGGCAGCTTTCGACGTATCGGATAAAATAAGATGGGCGTTCTAGAGCGATGGATATATGTTTGAACATGGACTCGTGTCCACGGACGCCATCAAGGTAAGCTGGGGCATGAACTCGAGGGATGAACGGAACGAGAGACAGTTTGTTCGTGGATAGTGCTGAGGGAATTGGTAGAACGAAGTTGATATCGTATGGTTTTGGGCCATACAACTCGTCCTCGAGGATCTCCGGCTCGGGGGCATAGTTGTTGACGAAGGCCATGATAGTGGCACTGGCAGCAAGATATGTCCGCTCTGATGGAATTAGTATTCCCAGGTTAACCTTTTGTATTCAGTTCTCGAGCTGACAACATGTCAGGGGTGCATAGCGCAGTGGTAGCGCGCATGCTTTGCAACCGCTGCCGGGCAACCTGTAAGCGAATGTGTATGAGGTCCAGGGTTCAATCCCCTGTGCATCCAAAGCTTTTTACATATTTTTTACGTCGGCTTGGCCGTTTTTATAGTCGCCTCTTCCAATACTTCTCGCATCTACTTCTCATATATAGGACCAACGCATTGATCAACTTCGCACAAATCGTTCCTTTGATTTGACGAGCTCAGTATCCGAGCGCGTCCTCTTTCTGTCCGACTGAAGGCAAGTGTTCGAATCGTATCAGACGACTGGGAGGTCTGTGATGAAACTCAGAGCCGTACCGATAACGCGCCACAAAATGTTCGAGAGCGGTGATCTAAGCAGATTTATTAAGCAGAAAGTGTGCGATGGACGTATGGTTGCGTCTACTCATCCCCAACCACACGCGTGGCACGGATCATCGACCCTCAAAATCTACGCCTTCGTCGTTGGATACGTCGAGCGTAGCGCCATCGTCGATGCTGTTCGTTGCGTCCTCCTTGACCTCCACAACTTGCTTCTCTTCGGCCAATGTACTGCCATATCCGTCAAGTGGGAGTGGTTCATCCTCCGGATCCGGGTCGGTCAGTGTCAACGTTGAGCCTTCAGCGTCATAAAAGTCGTGCAACGTCAATGGACGCATGGTGAATCCCTAGGTGGAGGGCAGATGGTTATCAGAATGACAAAAAGGAGCGACGCGAAACGAGAGAACTCACGTCTTCCCCCACTCTCTTGATCGCTTCCTCGTCATGCGCCATCTCTCGCATGCATTCGCGCACTGGCACCATGGCAGCGTTCCGACAGAGTTCACGCAGGTCCGAACCAGAGAAGCCGGTCGTCTTGGCTGCAAGCATATCAAGGGTCAATGAAGGATCAAGCTTTGTGTCATTCAACATCTGTCAATTTCGGAACTTTAGTCGCGGCAGCGGGGATAGGTTTCGAACGAAAACCATACCAAGGAAAGTATCTTGAGTCGCTGCTCAGCATTCGGCAGGGCAACAGCAAATCGTTTCGGCATACGACGCAAAATAGCAGGATCAATGTCCATGGGTCGGTTCGTCGCTCCGAGAACCATTATTCGTTCTTCTCCCGACGTCAATCCATCCCACGATCTGTGTCATCCATGCGTCAACAAATGTCCAGTTCCAGAGTGAAGGAAACAGCGGCATACGTCATGAATTCAGCTTTTATCATGCTCATCACCTCGTGATCATCCGTTCTGCGCTCCCTCAGAAATGTATCTATCTCATCCACAAATATGATTGTTGGTTGCATCTTTCTAGCGAGACTAAACAGGCCAGCGACGAGCTTGTTTGATTCTCCAAACCACTTGTTGGTGAGTACTGAGGCGGGAATGTTGATGAATGTAGCTCCCGATTCCTTGGCAAGGGCACGTGCAAGCATGGTTTTACCGCATCCGGGAGGTCCGTAAAGAAGGACTCCCTTTGGTGCACTGAGGAGTGACGAAGACGCCGTGAAAAGGTGTGGGTACATTAATGGATATATAACGGATTCGCGAAGAGAAGCGATTATGGGATCGAGGCCGCCAATGTCTGCATCAAGTTAGTTATGTGATCACATCACTTAGATGGCATCAAAGGCACAGATAACCACCTACCTTCAAAGCGTACTTGGATATCATCAGGGCATACAACCTCCTTTGTTATGGACACTATGAAGATTTTAAATGTATGGTAGAGATTGGTGGAGAAGTGCGCACGTTCGTATTCGTCAAGTTTCAGTCCTTTCTTGCCCAACTTTGCCAATATTTGCGAGCGATGTTTCTCTGTTTTCTTATCCACTTGATGTTGACCGATGAACCACTATAAACGGACCGAATAAAGAGTGAGAAAGAACATTGAGATCAGGTCAACAGAGCACAAGAAAACCGACAAGCGAGGATGAACAATATACACACACGGTAAGCATAATGAGCAGCGACCTTCAGGAAATACACCAAACGTTCCAAAGTAAATCAGTAGCCGGAACCATATGTTTACTATCAACACACCTGCGTTACTATCAATAGTGCGACTAGAACAATGTATGGGTTAGTGACCCAAAAGAAAGAATTCGAATCTGTTTTCCTTGTGGCAAAGGAAGTGAAAAGTACATACCATTGATAGCAATTCGTCTTGCAGTTAACTGGGATGACATTCTGAGTAGAGCGCTACAAGGACGGCGGTCCGCGTTGTCCACGTCACTTTCAGGGGGGAAAGACAGTAGAAAATAGAGGAGATGTCCAGAGACAACTCTGGATTAGTTTGGGTACAGGAGGTGCTCGAGAGCTTCCCCGGTATGGCGTCGGCAAATGGTGGCTGGGTGGAGGTGTTTTCCGAAGGACGTGAATTGCTGACATTGGTTTTGTCTATAAAAGGAATGTCTGCCCCTCTTATCATTCGCGTGGGATTCCTATCATCGCCGGATCAACGATGCATGTGACACATGTTTTTCTTTCTTTCTTCTATCATAGTGCGTAGCTCTCGCTCAAATCGAGGCTGTGCTTCCTCAATGGTTGATCATGGAAAGGAAAGGTGCTCCGAGAAATCGTGCTCTCTCGGTACTCATATGCACTCTGACTGAGTTTACCTAAAATTCGGCCGATGTGGTGACCGGGGGTCCTTGTAAAACCCAGCTCGTATCTGTCTTTGTGCCGAAAGAGTACGATTGTCCGGGCTTTCACTCTGGTTCCGATCGCGAGGTACTCGGCGATTGGGAAAAAACCCAGCCTTGAGTCAGGCTTCACAGGAACCCGAATTGGGCACTCATTGTGCTGACCACGCAACCTCTTTTCTATCTGGTTTCTTCGACTCTCAGGCTGCACCACCCACCACCCCACTTTGTGGTTGCTGGTTAACGGATGCCAACCCACTCCGGTGAGTAGATATCCACACTATCACCAACACTCAGGCTGACCACACATTACACCAAGATGCTTCTAAACCGCTGGAAATCGTTCATAATAGCGGGATCAACTCGGTCGCTTTTTCACCCGACGGGACGTATATACTCGCAGCCTGCAATGACGGGACCATTCAACAATGGCGCGTCAGCGATGGGAAGAAGATGGGGACGACGATGAAGGCAGATGACTCAGTTCTCGTCGTCGCAATCTCCAGTGACGGAAAGTGGATTGTAAGCGGTGGATTGGATTGCAAGGTCACCGTTTGGGACACCAAGACGCAAAAAAGGGCCTTCGAATCAACACTGGCTAACGAGAAATGGGTCAATGCTCTGGATGTGTCACCGGGCTCGACAAGATTCGCCAGCGCATCAAGCGATTGCACAGTGAACATTTGGAGTCTCACGACTGGCCAGCGACTCGTTGGCCCGTTGAAACACAATAACCGTGTGGACTGTGTCGCATTTTCACCTGACGGCGACCACGTCGCTACCGCCGGCGCCTATGACTGCTTGCGCATTTGGGACAGTCGAGATGGTAATTTGCTTCTCGAGGCCCCCTTCTCTCCTGAATCCCTCGTTTGGTGGCGCGATGACCAAATCTTCGCATCAACACGGTTCACGCAGCGATGGATCAATGCCCTTTCTGGATCGTTACTTCTGGAATATCCTCGGACCAGTGATGCAACTGCGAAGGTGCATCTCGCTATTTCACGCAATCATGATACCTTAGCTGGCCTTGACAAGCATATTGTACGTTTGTGGGATCACACCACCCATGCGTGGAGCTCCACCACGCATGAACTCAGCTACAATGGGTGTACCATTGCTCTCTCACCCGATGGTCATCATCTCGTCACTGGGGGAGAAGATAAAATTTCCATCTGGAATCTTCCTGGTGGCGTTTCTGAGGACATTGACCATGTAAGCATATCCTTTCTCGACTAATTCATCCACTGATAGCTTTTTTTTCGTTAATGAGCAAAACGGTGTGGTAAGTACGTTAGAATATCAGGCGGAAACGCATCTGATTGCTGCCCCGCGTTTATTTCAACAGTTCATGCATCTCACCGGTGTAGTACAAGAGTTATGGTTACAGGAAAACTTTGGCTTGGCCATGGAAGTACTATCTCGCGATATTGTGTTACACGGAAAGTCTCATCATGCATACTCCAATCGTGCCCTCGTCCAAGCGCGTTTGAAAAAGTGGAGTAATGCGCTTGTCGACGCCGAAATGGTAATTGGTCACGTTCCTTCCCAGCACGCAACACTGAAACATATCCAGTCGATCGATATTCAGCCGTCAGTTATAGGGTGCATCGCGAAAAGTGTCGCACTCTGTGGTCAGGGCAGACACGAAGATTCCATGCAGGCGTTTGACCTTGCTTTCTGTTACTGCGGTGCAGAACATGTAAATTATCTTTTACTCGTCAAGGTATGCACGACACAGCAACCGTGTCAAAGTTTCACGACTCACCATTCTGTTTCCAGTCAGTCGTCCTCTTTATCGGCGGGCTCCGACACCACGCGATTTCTCGTACAACTGACTTGATAAAGTCGCTGCAGAGTAATTTATCACACTACCATGTTGTTCAGGTAGTTATGTCCCTATTCGTCGCGAACATTCATTAATACCTTTTGTAGGCGCACATGTCCCTTCTCCTAGCGGAAGCCGCAATCGACTCGAACGACTATGATCATGCGATACAGCTCTTGACTTCCACGACGGATCTTGGAGAATTCTCTCACCTCCCAGAGTTGCTGACCGTCTCGTTGGTATGGCCCCTCTCACGATCATCAGTACAGTTATTGAATGCCATTCGAAGCTCACTGGATGGAATTTCGACACTCTCAGATTCAAGATCCACAAGAAAAAATGCGAAGCGCTGTTCGCCGCGGGTCTCACAGGAGGCGCAGTAGCCTCCTTCCTTGAAACAGATCTGGGGGCGGAAACGAGGTTGAAGGAGGAAACGGAATGGGTTACCGGTGAGCGCGTTTGCACGTGCTTCATTTCAGTCTCATCGACTCTGCGAAACAGATTTCAGGTGGCGATGTGTGGATAAACTGAACCAGTTAGGCGATGTAGCCATGGATGCCGCTGCACACGATGACGCGACTGCCTATTACTCCTCGATTTTGACCCTAGACCCCTTGTCGACGGATGTAT